AGTGTGTCCGAAGTGGTCACACGTTTTTGCATTTGATCGATTGCCAGCAAACGCGGCACCCATCGCGCGGATTGCTTTTTCATGTCCAAATGATGGTGAATGATGTTTTGTACGCGTTCGTAGCAAATGTTTAGGACCTCTATTAACTCGCGGAACTTAATTCGACGATCTGCCATAATCATGTCATGGACTTTGTTGATCATTTCCGACGTGGTTACTTCATTTGGCCTCCCGAGACGCTCATCATCAAAAATACTTGCACGACCACGAACAAATTCAGCTTTCCAAAATTTTACTGTTGCTAACGAAGGTGCAACCTCGCCATAAACTTCATCCAGATCGGCTTTGATTTGCAAATTCGTTTTACCCTTTTTGTGGAGGAACTTAATCACTGAACGATACTCGACTTTTTTCATTTCTCCGAAAACACAAAATTTGCTTGCGTTTTAAAAACTAATTGTTTTTAAAATTTAAAATTTTGACAGACGTCATGTCATGAATGGCAAATGTCAACACCGAAACCAAATAAGTTAATTAAGTTTCATTAACTTATACAATTGACTTACCTTCGCTTCTGTAATATTTAATTTTGTCCAAATACTTCCGTTTACTATTCTACTACTTCCATTTACTATTCCGTTTAATTAATAAATGTCGATTATCTTTCGTTTTCTTCCATTTAAATCCCAAATCTTTAACAATTCTGTAGAGAGAACTCACACTTCCAGTCCACTCGTACACGCACTCTTCCAAGTCTTGTTTGCAAAAGCTTCAATGACACGACTACGTTTAGTCTTATGAAAACGGTGAAATGGTACTTCTAGTAAACTGTTTGTCGTACTTCCTCAAGTCTGTCACGGTTGCTTTCCTTTTAGCTTTAACAAGTGTTTAGCTAGAAGTTTTAGTGAATTATTTAACTTTGCCTTTTGCCTATTTGCCTTTGTTAACATATTGACTTGTTCAATGATTATTTCTACTGTACGTAAAGATACTCCAGTAGCTTCGCTCACACGTTGCTTAATATTAGTTCGATTATCTTCAGAAAATAGTATTTGTATATATTTAGATACATTGTAAACTTTTCTTTTGGATTCTGGTGTCACTCTGATCTATTTACTCGTACTACACCTAACCATCTCCGTTCTACAAAATAGTTCTACTACGCATGTTAGCACCTTTTTTTGAGACTCGTCAACATAATGAGACTAAATTACGAACTCGTTTTAAATCCAGTGACTAGAAATTCTTAATTAGTTCTTTGTATGTCCTGAATAAGTCGTTAAGAAGTCATTAATAATGACTTTATAATTACGGTTTTAAGGTAACCGATACTAAATTAAAAAGGACCGCTCAACTCTCCTTACGGTAAACCAGCCCCGGTCAGATTAAACGAAAGTTCGGTCAATGATAGATCTCACTGCATAGATTAAAAAAGTCAATACGATCGTATATACAGGTCTGAAAAACTATTATTCTGATGCTACAGCCTTCTGAAGTTAGTGGATTCAGGTGCTCAGTGTACGGCAAGCGCACTTATTCAAAGTCAAGTGAACGAAAATATTGATTTATGAAAGAAGAGAGACATATTTTCTTGCTGCATATTTGCACGCTGAATATGAATCAGTGGTCAAAAATCAATGCATCGCATTTTAGTCTTCAGAAAACCACCGAAAAGTCTAAAAACTGAAGAACAGCGATAGACAATGTGCTGCTAGAGATACATAAGAATTATCATATTTTCATAAATGCTGCACTCTTATCCAATACTAGCATAGCTGCATTTCCGCCCTATCTTCAGAAAACTACTTAAAGCGCTTTCAGAAAAGTAAGGAACAAGCACACCTACAAGTGCTGCTAGAGCGGCACAAGACATCTCATTCTTTCACGTATGAACAATACAAAAATTTGTAATTGATCGTAATTATTGTATGTACATTAATTATTTATATATAAGTAACGTTATCGTAGTATTTATGTATTACAAATATATTTTTTGACAGTTCTAAATTTGGATATTTTTAGATACACATAAGTTGGATTTATATATTATAAACATTTTACCAGATTATTATGTATATTTTTTTTAACAATATAATCCAGTCATCAGAGACAAAAATGCCATTGAACCCCTAAAAATCATACTAACAATCTGAATTTTGCCAGAATATTAATAATATTAATTTTGGGACCCCAAAAAAGATGCAAAAAAGTTTAGCACTTTTGCCCCCGGGCTTCCCCGTAAAACGCCCCTTGTAGGGGGGTAACAATGCAACAAAATCGATTTACCAAGAATCTGTACGCTGTAGAAAAAAACGTTTTGAGCTTTGGCAAGAAATGTGAGGCATTTGAAATACGCTTAAAAAAACCCTGGATTTAAACTTTCACATAACGAACGATCTAAAACGTTTAAAACTTTTTTTTTAATTACATTAGTACGTTTTTCAAAAGAACCAATTCTGCTATAAACTACACCCAAATCCGTCTTCTTGGAGGCATTTCCCGTGACGTGCGATGGTTTGTAATGTAAAACATTAAATTCTTCGTTTTTTATTCATGTTTCAAGTGACTCATATTTGTTGCCACAAATCTAAATTGAAATTTCATGTGATAGGTTTTAAACATTAATCTTTAAAAATGGAAATTTTACTACGACTGGTCAATGAAAGTGATCAATCCTATTGATCTTACGAGAATCGTAAAAAATGGCAAAAATCGGGACACATTTGTCTATTTAACACCTTTATAAACACTGAATTATTTGCGCAAAATACGAAAGCTGCACTCTTTAAGTTTAAAACGCATCTTGATTTTTGTCGATAGAACGCTTGGATCGAAAGATATTGAATTTTTACCGTCGAGCTGATATAAATTTTATTGAACATTGATTTCGCTCACGGAACTGACATTCAAAAACGACGATCGCCTCAAGCGTTGTTTCTGGGAGAACGGATCATTCTACACAAAAAGTGCCAATAAACATTTTTGTTTAAAATTATCTCAGCTACATTTTTTATTTGAAATATTTTTTCTACGTCATATAGATTCTTGGTAAATCGTTTTTTGCGTTTTTACGCCCTACGAGCGAGATTTTAGGGGAAAACGGGGGGTAAAAGTGGTAAACTTTTTTGAATCTTTTTTGGGGTCCCAAAATTAATATTCTCGGCAACATTCAGCTTGTTCGTATGATTTTTAGGCGTTAGCTCCCTGACGACTGGACTAATAATATAATTTATTTATTTATTAACAATTTATATATTTTATATTTCTTATACCAATGTGTATAATTACAGAGTTTATTTGTACTAAAACCGTGTTTAACTAATTATATCAATAATGATTCTTTGAGATCCTAATTCTAACCTCACTTTTGCAATTGTAAATTCTTATATTTACTGCTGTAAATGTATAAATTATATTGATATTATTGTATGTAATAGAACTAGAATAGAATACTAGAATAGTTCTAGTACTAGTTTTATAAAACTAATTAATAGATTTTAACAAAATGTGGAATTTAATTTCAGTAATCATTACATAAAAGTTTCTTTCTATATAAATACCTAAACAATCCACAGTTTACAATGATGCTTTTTATGATTTTGACTCGGTAATCGATAAAAAACGCAAGCACTTTTACTTTCACTGTTGCAGTTTGCGATGCAATACACATTACCTACTATCGTTTTGAACAATAATTATAATGTATATAGTATAATGTATAATTATGAGTTATAAAAACCTTACGGTGATGACAAATTTGGCCAATATGAGCGCTTTAAACGTGACATATATCTCCTCCCGTCAGCTGCACAGAACCAATAATCACAGCCGTGTAAAGTTGTGTTTGTCAGATTATGTTCAAACCGGCTTCTGAATATCGCCTAGCAGCAGTTCCACCACATAAATTTGTCTGTTGGTAAATACAAATCATATCCCTCATTTCTCAGTTGGAAAATTTTTTGTCACTTATCATTTTACAATAATACAATCTACTAATTTAATATAATAATTTGTAAAAAAATTAACACTTTCAAATGAAAAATGTGCATAAACTAATATAATAATTTTGAAGTAGGTAATTAAAATTTCTGACAGAATACATCATTTGACCTCGTGAGAGGTCGCTAAATGCATTCTTTGGTAATTATTTTGCTATAATTGCCATACTAGCCGGTGCGTTTTGATTTTGTTCCAGTCTTCTTACAAATTTCTCTGACGATGGGTAGACCCTGAAACAACGTGTAAGAGAATGGTAAAAGACTTGAATTAAATCCAATCGCGTATATATATATATATATATATATATATATATATATATATATATATATATATATATATATTAATACATAATTACTTTAAAAATTTGTAAAAATCTTTAAACTACAGTGAGAATTAGTGCCTTTGCCTTTAACCATCGTAATACCGCCAATATTTTAATTTTGATTCGGGGAATCTTTACTTATCCTTTTATGTTCTTGGGACACCTTGTTTAAATGTCATTTGATATTGGTGTGCATGAATAACATATTTCATAGGAAAGTGAAGATATGTCGGTATTGGCGTCAAGAAATTATTTTAAATAAATTATTTAACATGTGGCATGAAAAGTCGGCCATACATAAATTAAAAAAAATTGTCTTAAAATGTCTAAAAATGCTTTAAAAAGAAACAAAGAGCTTAGTGTGTCCTACAACTATCTTCCGAGAAAAAACTTTAATCACATTCCTATTTTTTAGCTCACTAATAAAAAGTTAGTTTAATAAATATTGTCTAATACTATTTTTACTGTCTTCTATAAATGTTGAAGGAAAAATATGTATTTCAAGTATATTTAAATCAACTTTCATTTTATTTTCACAAATAGTTACTATCTCTGGCAATGAATTTTAACTGGCTCTTGAAAAATGTAATAAAAATTCGTATATCACGGCTCTTGCATTATTAAACAAAAACAATAATTATCTTGTCTCTTTACATATTAAATATGTATTTTGTTCCAGATCAGCACGCCGGAGCATGCAGCAAGACCCCAGTAGTTCACCGGCAACAGCAGATACCCCTGCCGAATTTTCTCTCTTCACCAGTCCGAAGGATGACAGCGATCTCTCTCCTCAGTACATCCCCGCTGAAAAGTACGAATTAGAACGTAAGGCGATGTACGACAATCTCCTCAGACCGAATTCCCCCAAGGAGACCAACACGCAATCTAACCAACGAGTACCGCTCGAGAGGAAAGCTAAGTCTCCCAAAGAGAGCGCTAGTATAATTGAGACTGTCAAGGAAGAAGCGGATGAGTGTACTGGTAAGTGCATGTAGTCAAAAATTGTTCTTTCTGTTTTGCAATTCGTTCCGTTTAAAATTATCAAATACCACATAAATATCTGAATTATTATAATAGCTTTCTAGTTACAAGTATTATACTTAAAACTCAATTCCTTTTTTTCTTCGATTTCTTCCTAGGAGATTTTAATCTGAGGCATTAATCTCATTTCTTCAGGCATTTTTAGAGATTTTTTCTACACCGACCTGATAGTGTATCTTGGAGAAGCATCCTCTACAATGTTTTCTACTTGAAGAGGCAGAGATCATGATAGTATTTACTAGATAATAAAAATCTTATTTTTCCTGTCACAATAAGCTTAGTAAAATATTTTTCCTGTAATTGGGTTTTTTTACTTATTTATTCTGATCTTTTTCAGCTACTGCTGACGATACGGAAAATCAAGCAGAAGAGGATATGGAAATAGACATTCCATCTGTGTCGGCAGTAGTCGTTGAAAATAATATTCCCCCTATGGGGGACGAGGAAGAGGAAGAGGAGGAGGAAGACGAAGTTGACGGACAAGATGTCGAGATGGATGAAGTCGGGGATAGTTCGGTACATGCAGACACAGAAACGTATCAGGACCTAGAGGAAGCTGAACCCGAAGCCGAACTTGAGCCGGAGCCTGAAGCTGAGCTAGAACCTGAACCAGAGCCCGAGCCCGAACCTGAGCCAGAGAATGAACCTGAACCTGAACCCGAACCAGAACGACATAGTAGATCTAGAATAGAAGAGGACTGGAGTACTGATTCGGATTCCAATAGTACTGCTCCTGAGATGGAGGTGAAACAAATTTTACCTGATCCTAATTATAAAGTAAGTAATTTATTTAATTTATTTTTGTATAGCGGAATATTTATTATTTGTTGGATTTATAGATTCTATAGACATTCTATATATAATTAGAGAGAAACTCAAGAAAACGGAATTTATATGCTGAAGAAGAATATTATTTCTCCGTAAATGGGGAGACTTGTTTGATTGAACATGCAGTGAACTGTTTTAACGAAATTGCTATTGCATACAATTAATTTCTAACTGATTTTAAATGAGTGACTCTGCCTTTGGTATTCGTTGGTGGATTGATTGCCTAACTCACGGTAACACTGCCTAGGATTGGGAATGCCCTAGTCATTCATTATTGTAAGGAAAAATGCTGCTATATTTTTAAATAAGTCTCTACCGGACAGTATATCCGTCGACGACTCAGTTATAGAGGTATTGATTATCTATTCAATACAAATAACGTTCTGACACTAAATAAACCAGTAGCCAAACATCGCTGGTCAAGGAACAAAATACAAAATAGTACTAGTAGCAGTACAAGAAATCAAACAGCTATGAAGCAGAAAAAAAAAGAACGCAATACTATACAGTGGACAAGAAAGCAAAATACAAAAATGTTGAGTAATTTTTTTTAGTTGGTAATAAGATCAATCATATTATCTTAGATTACCAGGAGATCTTAAATAAAAGATATCCTACAAGAAATGATCATATACCACAAACATTGAGAATCCAGCAACAGATACCAAGGACAAATCAAGCACCAAATGAGGCAAGCAGTATAGAAAACTTGTTCCAAACATCAGTTACTTATGCCAGTGCCACCAAAACAACGGGACTTATGACAAAACAGCAAAATGCGCCAGACACAACCCAAATTGGTAGCTTTACACAATACCTACAATGTATAATAGAACAGCAACAAACTATAATAAACCAACTAGTCCAGGAAATCAGACAACTTAGAGAAGAGTTAAAAAAGGCCATCACAAATAAGTGTACTGGCTAAGCTACTTATTATAGCACTATGGAACGCAAACGGCATAAAGCAACACAAAGACGAAATAGAAGTATTCCTAGTAACCAACAAAATTGGCATACTGTTAGTCTCTGAAACACACCTACCTCAAAAACTAGCTGCAGAATCCCAAATTTCGACATATACAATGCAGCCAATCCAGATGTGGAGAGATTAGGGGCGGCAGTATTAATTCGAAATTGAATTATACACTACCTCCTTAATAAAGTAAAAAAAATGACATGCAGGTAACCAGCTTGATAATTCAGATGTGGAGAGATTAGGGGCGGCAGTATTAATTCGAAATTGAATTATACACTACCTCCTTAATAAAGTAGAAAAAAATGACATGCAGGCAACCAGCTTGATAATAGAAGATTTGAATGGACCCATTACAACAACAGCGGTGTATTGCCAACCAAATTACCAAGCAAATAAAAAAATGTTTACAGAGATATTTAGAAATAACGGCAACAGATTCCTAGCAGGAGAACAGACATATATCTGTCCATCTATACACCACGCTACTGACCTACAGATCCTGAGAAATACCCAGGTTGCTTGATTTTTTTGTAACCCAAGGATTCTCCAACAAATACCTGACTATCGAACCTAATTATGATATTACCTCAGATTATACACCAGTAATAGCTACGAATTCATACAAATATCTAAGAAAAGACAAAATCACTGATAGTCCACAATCAAGCTACTAACTGAAATATGTCTAGAGAAATATTAGAAAATGAAGTAAACCTCAATAGATCTAAACACACCAAGAATTGGAAAACCAAGCACACACATTTATAGAATTAATACAGTATGCCTCGTAGAAATCAACTCCATCATTGGTCAGAACCCAAAACAGAAGTCACTGTCCTCGCAGTCGTTTTGAGGGTCTTACGTCTGTGTTCAACTGAAACGTAATTTCTTGTGACCAGCAGTAATCTGCCATCATTCGTATATCCCAATGACCTTAAAAATTACGCTCTACCTACATTTTCTGGAAAATAATTTAAATGAGAAAATTGTCTGTGTCACAGTTTTCTCACAATTGTCATCTCTTATTAACTTCCTAATTACAGGGCCTCCAAAAACAGTACGGGTGTTTAATAGGGTTATAGATGATTTTTTTTTCGATCAGTAAAACAATTACTGTATGTGATTTTATTTTGATATAATACAATAAACAATTAATATTAGGAATTCCAGGCCAATTACATTGCTAAATGTAATATACAAAATTCTTTCTGGTATAATCTACAATAGATTATTAGAATACTCCGAAAATATAATTGGTGATTATCAAAATGGATTCAGACCAAATAGAGCCACTACAGATAACATATTCATACTAAGAACGATATAAGAAAAAGCTTATGAATACGACATAGACCTATATAATATGTATATAGACTTTAAACAAGCTTTTGATAGTGTGAAAAGAGACATAATGCTGGAAGACCTTTGTAATCTAGGTATACCTAAGAAATACATCAACCTCATAAAAATGACGTTGCAGGGTTCAAAAGCCGCAGTCAGAGTAGATGGAGAACTGACTCCCCTATTTAACATCAACATGGGAGTAAGACAGGGAGATGCCCTATCAACCATGCTATTCAACCTAGTCCTTGAGGCAGTAATCAGAAAAACCAATATAACCGGCCATATAAACACCAAATCAGTACAAATTACTGCATATGCAGACGATGTAGCCATCATTAGTAGGAATAAGCCACGACTAATGGAAGTGTTCAAACAAATTGATCCTGAAGCAAGAAAAAGAGGTCTCAAAATAAACAAAGCAAAAACGAAGTATATGACAGTCAAACGAATAACTGATAATGAAAATAATATCACAATAGACAACTATACTATCGAACGAGTGGATGCCTTTACATATCTCGGCACAGAAATCAATCAGAAGAACTCCGTAAGTAGCGAAATTAATGCACGTATTTCCAGCGGGAATCGTACATACTATGCTAATAAAAGATTGATGACATCGAAATTATTAGACAAAAGAACCAAAATGACTATCTACAGAACACTGATTAGACCCGTAGTAACCTATGGATATGAAACTTGGGTAATGACGAAAAAGATGAAGCCCAACTCAGGACATTCGAGAGAAAAATACTGAGGAAAGTATATGGCCCGGTACAAGAGGAAGATGGCACATGGAGAATCAGGAGAAACGACGAGGTTAATGTGTTAAATGAAGGTTATGACATTGTAAGATTTGTGAAAAGGCAAAGACTGTCATGGCTGGGACATGTGCAGAGACAAAACGATGCAAAAACAACAAAGAAAATGTTACAATGGAAGCCCATAGGAAGGCGAAAAAAAGGAAGGCCCAGAACGAGATGGTAGGATGGCGTGGAAGACGACCTGGCAACAATGAACATAAGACAATGGAGGAGAAGGGCACAAGAGAGATCTGAATGGAAGGACATAGCCAGATAGGCAAAGACCTATCCAGGGTTATGATGCCAAAAGAAGAAGAAGAAGATTAGGAATTCCAGAGTTAGGTGGGTTTGTCTGCTTGTGGACTGAAAGAAATGGTTTCTAGGGGTTGGTTGATTTTGGGATATGTAGGTTTGAAATTGTTGGATTTAGGATTATTTGAATTGGATTATTAGGTTTGAGGTTGTTGGAATATGGTTTTATGAGTCTGGGATTTCGAAATTTAGATTTTCCGTTATACTGAGTGACAATCGAGTGCCAGATGTTTTTAAAACGCATGGTACGAAGCTTGACGGGATGAGAGTGGGATAAGCGCTACATTACTATCTCTGTATTGGTGTGCCATTTCAGTAAACATGGAGCAGTGAAAGGTAGAACATCGCAAGTTTGCATACGATACGTTTATCCGAAATAAAGAATCAGTGATCACTACGCAGCAGATTTTTCGCACTCACTTTAATATTGGTAGAAGTGGAGCAGTTCCATCTCGCAACATAATCTTCAGATGGATAAAGAATTTTAGAACAACAGGCAGTGTCATGAAAAAAAGCAGCAAGTTCCGAATAGAACAGTAAGAACTCCTATAAACATTCAGCGAGTGAGAGATGCCGTCGTCAGAAGCCTTAACACGGTCCGCCCGAAAACATGCAATTGAGCTAAATATTAATCGGAAATCTTTTAGGAAATGTTGCATATTGACCTAAAATTTAACCCCTACAAATTGCAGATTTTCCAGATATTAATCGAAAGAGATGTTGAACAACGTGAGAATTTCGCTACGAGAATGCAAGTTATTTATGTGATGCTACGAGAGTTAGTTATGCTACGAGAATTACAGGTACTGGGCTAATAAATAGAATTACAGGTCCATGCTTCAATGAATATTTTCTGCCACCTGTTCCCAGGACAACTCATTTCACGTTTCGGAGATTTGCCGTGGCCTCCAAGGTCTCCAGACCTATCAATTTGTGATTTTTTTAACCCCTACAAATTGCAGATTTTCCAGATATTAATCGAAAGAGATGTTGAACAACGTGAGAATTTCGCTACGAGAATGCAAGTTATTTATGTTATGCTACGAGAGTTAGTTATGCTACGAGAATTACAGGTACTGGGCTAATAAATAGAATTAAAGGTCCATGCTTCAATGAATATTTTCTGCCACCTGTTACCAGGACAACTCATTTCACGTTTCGGAGATTTGCCGTGGCCTCCAAGGTCTCCAGACCTATCAATTTGTGATTTTTTTCTGTGGCGGTGTTGAAATAGTCGTGTATATGCTAGCAAGCCTCGTAATTTGATGGAGTTAAAGAACGCAATTCGCCAGGAAATTCTGACTATTGATCGAGCGATGTTGAGCGTGTTATGGAGAATTTCATAAAGAGGATCGAAAGCTGCATTCAACGTGATGGTCACCATCTTGATGACATTATTTTTCATACTTAATTAGATTGTAAATGGCATAACATAAGTTTCATTTTGATATTAATAAAATAGTATTTTCTTGCAAATTTCTTGTGTACCATTTAGTTCAAAATCGTCTTATTGATAATAATATTGTCACCCTGCACTATAAAATATGGTTTGTGGGTTTTTTTAAAAACTAATAATCTTTAAAATGTGGTATCTTAGCGGTATATAGCGAAAAATAGCGGTATCTTTTAAAAAACCAGCTATCTGAGTAGTAACAAGAACAGTTTCTGGAAAATAAATTTCTGTGGGTTACGATGCTACATAACCTCAAATACGGCAGAACCGCTATTTTTCGGTTTTAAGACGGTTTTAAGGTTCAAGACATTTAATATTCAGAGGCTATACTGTTTTAATAGGTGTCTAATTTCGTAATTTGTTGCAGATTAATACCATTGAAGAGCATAAGTCAGAAATACTCGATAAAATTCTAGAAAAACCTCCGGACCCTACGCCGCCAGTCAAGCTCGTTATCTCGAAAAAAAAGGGAAGCATCTTTAAAAGCCGCACACTTGTAGACGATGGTGTAAGTAAAAAACGTCGTGCCCTGTATAAACATAAGTGGACGGACGATAATAAAGAACCTTCGAAAGAAAAAGAAGAAGGCGAAGGAGAGAGTTCGTCAAATCAAGAAGAAAAAGTCGAGGACTTCGACTTTAAAGAAGAGAATTTGGAGAGAGTGGTAAAAGAAGTAGATGAAGAGGAAATTACTAGTGTTAAGTGTACCAGAAATAATAAGGGGGTAAGTTATTTGACATTGAATTTTTATAGATTATGATGCCAGAATTTTTCACTCTGTGAATGAAACAACTGTTTTTTTCTTTAATTGGATCAGACAAGTATGTTTTTACAGTTCGTCAAAGTAGCGTGTTTTGTTGGTAATATTCTTACACTTAATTATCTTTTCTCTATCGTACCTTACTATTAATTTTCGAATATAGACTTTTCTTAGCTGTTGACCAGTTTTTTTCTGTAGGAATGACATTAGACTTATTGGTCTTAGATATTTTGCCTTTCCTGTCCTCTTGACTTCTGTTTAGGAATGAAAGTTACTCTTAATTTCTCTTCATGCTGTTGGTATCTACCCGAAGGCTACATTACTTCTGAGTTCATTGCATATTGTGCAGTGCAAAAGTTCCGGTGCCTTTTGTAATAACCCTGGATATATAACACATCATGAATTTATTGCTTATGCTTTTTCATAGTTAACAATATTTTTGACCGTGTGTCTGTTAGTTCTTAAGGACCTCTGCAAAGCCTCGTTGCCTTTTGATCTCCAGTCAATTGGTAATTCAACTATTTGTGATCCAAGACAATGCTCTTAAAGAGCTCTTCAGTCGATTCTCTTTCTGTATTGGTATATTCGCCCTTTTTCAGTTAAAAATGATTTAATTGGTTTTGTTTTCTTCTTTGAGATAATTAACCCTAGATGCTCCACATTTGGTAACCATTCCATAATCTTAGGGTTAGTTTTACACACGCATATACATATGTGCAAATATTAAGGATATTTTTATTTTCAGTATTATACAGTAGTGAGGAATGTAAAAAAGGCGCATCAAATCCAAGAAATTGGTGAATTCCAAGAATTCAACGATGACGTGGAGTACATCCAGGATGCTCTGCAGGACAACAACCCTATTAGCACTAGATGTCTTTCAGCAATAACGCTAGCTTCGAAATGCATGGCCCCCGCTTTCAGGATGCACGTCAGAGCCCACGGGACTGTCGCGAAGTTCTTTAAGGCATTGCACGATGCGCCCAAAAATCAAGTAAGTATTATCTACTTAATAGTCGATGTATAGGTTACATAGAGTTAAAAAATGATTGGGTCAATTTCAAGTTCAGTTTTCGGTATATAGTGTATAATCTCGTGAGGAGACGTGCCTACGAATAACATCCGTAGTTCTGCCTACCAATCGAAAACACACCCCCTCTTCTACAAAGAGCCACTTGGTACATGTTGTCTAGGTAACTTCAGATTACCCTGTACCATGCACGTTTGTCTAGAAATACACAAACAATACAATATCTATATAGAAGGGTTGTTGCACACAAAGATATTGAACAAACCAACAAATTAACACTACATCGTCAGCTAAGCATTCTCTAGAAAATAGCCATTCTTTTGATTATGAAAATGTACAGATTTTGAAAAAAAAAACAGACTACAACAAAAGATGCATATTAGAGATGGTCCACATAAAAAAAGATCAAATCTTTATCAAGATAAGACTTATATCAAAGTTATTTCCAAAATATATCATAATTTAATAAAGCGAGTTTTTTATGCACCATTGGCAGATATTTAAAATTCGACCCTAAACCACTCCTATTTTGAAGTACCTGACAGATGTATTTAGGGTCAGATACCATTTTTTCATTCCATGTTAAACTTTTAAAAAGTGCAGTCATAGCCTATAATTGTGTATTATGTAGTGTTTAAATATAGAATTTTTCATATAAAAAGTGATTGCACGTCATTCAAGGTTTACGACATCAGACCCCACAGCGTTGCCAAAACATCACAATAGTTAGAGAGGAATTTTTAAAATGTCAACCATTTGTAAAACTAATATATTATATATTATATTATATTATATTATATTATATTTATATATATATATATATATATATATATATATATATATATAATATATTATATATTATATATTATATATTATATATTATATTATATATATATATATAGATATATATATATATATATATATATATATATATATATATATATATATATATATATATATATATATATATATATATATATATATATATGAAAGCTTATCAGCTTTTTACAGAATATTTAGTTGTTTTGGCATAACACAATCACAATACACAACAATAATTAGTTTTTAAAGCTATTAATCTAAATTTAATATGTATTTATAAATACAATTTATTAATATATAATATATTATGATCAAATTGTGTAAGAAATCAAAACATAAACAAAATTCTTACTCTAAAAAGCGGCAACACTTTAAACAATTTTGCCACACGCTGAACTTTGATTAAAATTTGTTAAGTATTCTCGTATCAATTGCGTACAATTGTCTAATCTATTTAATTAAAATTATTATTTTGTGGAATATTAGACTTAAGGAGTTATTTCACAAAATTTTTATTATTAATAATAACAAAAATGTTTTTGGTAATTAAATCAATATAATTCTAAAATTCCCAATATAAGGATGAACATATTTTTCTGATAAGTATACCGTGTTGACGCCTATGATAGATCGAGCAGTTCCGTATGGGTTTCGCATTATTAGCTGTGTTTAGGAAACTTTGAACTCTTAAGGTTGACGTTCTGGAAATTTTCAATGTAAGTGACGTCACTTTATATAAATTGTGACGTGCAACGTTTTTACTTTGAAAAATGGTATAATTAAAGTGCTTATGTCAAATATATATAAGTAAAAATTTAAATAATAAATTGTATATCGTAACTATATACAGTCTCTAATATTGGTAAATTGATGTTCCTCGTTGGACTCTGGTTAGAATAGAAGAAAATATACAATACTCACAATAACGTAGATAATCTCTCTTAATCAGAGTTAAAACCGAATAATGGATTTCGGCACTGTCAACTTCCTTATGATGATTGGCTGGAGTCAAAGAAATTTTCTGAGATAGTGCGGAGTACGGGTCTTAATAACAAATAAATTTGATTCAATTTACTATTTTGGTTGAGAATAAGTCACAATTTTACTTTAAAATTAAGTTTTTTTGGCGTTGCGATGTCCACTTCCGAAAATCGTTCTCAAAATACAAAACAGTATTAAATTAAGCAAATTTTGTTTTTGTTGCTAGGTAAAAAATGCTTCTAATAATTTAATTTTATAGAATATTAATAAATTTAATTGTTAGTAGCTTCGGAACAAAATAACTGGAAGCTTCGGTCCAAACTGAGATAAGGGCATATAATACGGACGACCGTCCCGTATTAGAATAAAATGTGGGCCTTCATTCAAATAGGACGTATTTGGATCCTAACGAGGAAATGCAAAAATAAGATATGCGAAGTAACAAGATCTAGACAAAAATGATAATTAACAATAACTTGCCCTTTTGTGGATGTGGACTATTTTCTACATACAAAAAAATTGCCTGGGCGAAATACCATTTTCGAATTTTGACCAAAATAATGAGAATTTTATATAACGGGAGCAATAACCGGCTCCTTTGCTGCATTACTATATCTTTAAAGGGATTATTTAGAATATTTGCAAATAAATACTGTAACGGAGTCTTAAAATAACTAAAGCGGTACCTTTTATAAGAGGATTATCGAGGGTCTTCTTCTTGATGTGCCTATCCGTTACGAATGTTGGCGATCATCATGGCAATCTTTATCTTATCTGCAGCAGCGCGGAAAAGCTGCACAGATGTTGTATTGAACCAGATTCTAAGGTTCTTTAACCAAGATGTTCTTCTTCTTCCTGGACCCTGCTTTCTAAATATTTTAATTGCAGAATGGCTTAAAGGAGAGCATATCTGGATTCATTTCGCATGATATGTCCGAAGAATTGTAAATTTCGAGATTTGATGGTGGTCAGTACCTCTCGGTTCTTATCCATTTTTCTGAGGACCTCCTTATTTGTGACTCAGTCAGTCCACGGGATCTTAAGGATTCTCCGATATGGCCACATCTTAAATGCTTCCAGTTTTCTGCACATATCTTCGTTCAAGATCCATTATTAAACACTATAAAAAAGAACAGAGAAGACGTAGCATCGCAGCATTCTTACTTTTGTATCAAGAGAGAGAGGTTGTGACTCTTGAAGAAGGCCCCCATCCAATTGAAGGTGGATCTAGCTTTTCCGATGCGTGCTCTACTCTCCTGGTTGTTAGTCCATTCTTCATTTATTATGGTGCCGAGGTAATTGTAGTGCGTCACTCTTTCTACAGGGGATTGGTTGACCTACAGTTGATTTTCTGCTATCCTTTTCTTGCTAATTATTGTAAGCGTTGTCTTCTTAACGTTTATATTGAGTCCATATTGCAGACTGTAATACGTGATTTTGTTCATAAGAACTTATGGTGTCATCTGCATATCTGATGTTGTTTAGCCGGTAACCATTTAGTAGAATACCTTTTTCAGTTTCGTGCAAAGCTTCAATAAATATTCTTTCAGAGAACAGATTAAAGATTAGAGGAGACAAAATACAGCCTTGCCTCACTCCATGCATGATTTTCACATAGTCAGTGTGTTTACCTTGAACTCTGAGATTTGCTGTCTGATTCCAGTAAAGATTTCTAATTATTTTCAAATCTTGGTTGTTAATTCCCGCTTCTTTTAGTATTTGCATCATCTTGACGTGCTGTACTCGATCAAACGCTTTGTCGTAATCAACCAGACATGCGTATACATTGCAGTTGACGTATCTGCATTTCTGGAATAAGACTTGTACGGAGAACAAAGCCTCTCTAGTACCAACAGCATTTGTGAACCCGAACTGGTTGGAGGAAATTTGACTTTCACGCAGCTTGTAGATTCTCTTATGAATTATCTTTAGGAACAATTTTAGGATATGACTCATGAGGCTTATAGTACGGTAATCTTCGCATTTTTTGGCTCCTGTTTTTTTTTTTTGAAGTGCAATAAACTCAGATTTTAGCCATTCTGTTGGTATTTCTCCAGAATTGTACATGTTGTTGAATATCTTTGCGATTATTGCTATTGATTCGTTGTCCATTAGTTTGGGTAGTTCTGCTTGTATATTATCAGGGCCTACCGCTTTGCCATCCTTTAACTGTGTTATTGCGGAATAAACTTCCTGCTGTAATATTCTTGGTCCATCATTTACCTCCTCTTCTAGCTCAAAGATGTTATCGAGGGTAGTTGGAAATAAATATTTAACGGTTATTTTCTTTTGACCCCGTTTGGACAAAATGTAGCGAAAATTTTGAAGCTAAAATTAATGTAATTTTTATCTCTATGACCTTTTAAGATTACCTACTATTGTAGGTATATCATTTTTTTTTTGTCAGTAGTAGATTATTTTCTGCCATCTATCTTCTTACTTTTTCATACATCATATATTGTACTTTTCTGTACATTATCTGTATATTTGTGTGTGATTAAGAATCCATTGGCATAGGCTACTGATTAAATATATGTGTCTTACTGTTGTCAGCACCCTGTTGTGCAGAATGTTTTACAATGTCGGTCCTAGTACTGAGCTTGCGATACTCCAGCTGGTATTGTATCTCCTTATCTTTTTATACTACCGTTGTTCTATTCATTCTAAACTTGTAATGGTGTTTAACAGATATGTAGATATTTTTGCAGCACTAAGTTTTGTGATGATCCTATTTCAGTTTGCTGTTTTAAAGGCATTTTTTCTTGGAGGCTTTGACCTTGTTTACAATGTATTTTACCTCGTCCACTGCAGATTTCCTCTTTATAAATCCGAATTATGAGTTTTATTATTTGTAGTTGGAGTTCTCTTTCTAAGCGATTCTTTATTAATGATTAGTTCAGGGATTTGCCCGACTTCAGAACTAAAGCTAGATTTGCTTACTTACTAGACCATTAAATATTGACATTACAATGTCTGGTCTCTCTTGTACTATTATCGCTTTAGATGGTATTTTATTTGGTCCTGGGACTCAAAACAGTTTTGTGGTTGACTGTGCTGTCTATTTCTCCTCTGGTGAAACCTTTCTGAAGATCTATGTTCACGGGTTGGAAATTGTTTACTGGGTAAAAGATCCTTTGTAATTTTCCATCTTCTCCGTAATTTTGAGAGTTCTATTCGCTGTGTTGCAAGCCTATACCCATATATTCATACCCATATATACTTGAAGTGAGGTATCCGGAGGATTTTTCCAACAAGATCGTTTCGCATTCTTGATATTTTTATTTCGTTCTTTTTGTCCTTGCTTTGTACTTATATCTTCATATTCAATTATCCTCAAGGATCTCGCTATCTAACTCTCTGATAGTGTTCTCAGACATATACAACCTTGCTTTTTTCAATCTTTTTCCTTCTCATAATGGTATTTAAATTAGACAGGCAGTTACATATTTAAACTTTGATAAAATGAAAGGCAGATATCGAGCACTGTTTTATTAATTAAATCTTGCCCAAGTACTTTCGCTTCCTAGAGCATCTTCAGGGGCATTTCGTCAAATTTTGGGCTATCCAACAATTGCAGAATGTCATAAACTTAAAATTAAACATAAAATTGAACATAGCACTACACTAAACAATGACAAACAGTTTAAAATTATTTTAAAATATTTTTTAAATAATTTTAAACTGTTTGTCCTTGTTTAGTGTAGTGTTATGTCCAATCTCATGTTTAATTTTAAGTTTATGACATTCTGCAATTGTTGGGTAGCCAAAATTTGACGAAATGCCCCTGAAGATTCTCTAGGAAGCGAAAGTACTTGTGCAAGATTTAATTAATAAAACAGTGCTCGATATCTTTCTTTCATTTTATCAAAGTTAGTTCATTTATTCGAGCATTCAACATTATATCTAGTTATATATTTCTCTCCACCTTCCACCAGGTTGTTAATTTTTGTTATAAATGTATACTTTTCGGTTATTTTAGTCCTCTTGAAGCCACGTTTTGTATTGACGACAAAACCTGTCTCCCTAACTTTGTAGTCCTGCATCATGTCGTCTATCACCGGCTTTATTTCTTTAATCTTTCTGGCCTGACGAGGAACTAGTCGTTAACGCGGTGTAAAAAAAAACTTTTTATTGTAAAATGAACAACAGAATTATCTGCCACTAACTCTTTTTGAAATGTATATTTTTTGTTTCAGAGTCTTGGACTATGTACCGCTACAGTGATGTTCGTTCTCAGTCAAGACCGACTTAACATGGATCTCGACAGAGATTGCCTGGAACTGATGTTGAATCTCTTAGAATCGGACGTAAGCTATCAACAAGCTTTGGACGAATGCGGCCTTAGTAGTGCACAATTAGAAAAGAATAAGCAGAAAGTGAGGGAGTTGTGCGCAGAAATACAGAGCCAGGGTCATGCTATGCATTTGAATTTGGAATCTATAACGGTGAGCAAAAAACTAAACATCATTATGCTAGTATTGAGCAATGCTTAGGGTATTGATGACTTCGTCACTATTGCAGCGGAATTTATTTTAGTATTCCAATGCTGAACCTGCTGAACCGCATGTATATATTTTTCGCGCCCCCCTCCGCATATACTTTTTTTAAATTTTCAACAATTATATTTGCTTACATGAAAAACAGATTACAAGTTTTTGAAATAATCTAAATCTAACAAAAAACGAAAAGTGTTTATAAAATGTAATTAGGTATCCGACTTTTGAACAGGAGCAAATGCCTTGACTACTAAATGTTCAAGAAATATAACAGAAAAAGTGAATTGTCGAAAATTGATCAGCCGATTTTAATAATGAATAGATCATATGCATGTAGGTGGCGCTGGCGTCAGGGTTTGGTATTAAAACATAACCTTATTTTATTCTGCCATTTATTTACATTGTTTTGTACTCGTTTCCTAGTTGTTTTGCAATTTTGTGAATGTTTTAAGTTTTAATAAGTTATTTAGGCCATTTTAATTGTTTGGACAATGATAAGTTTTATAAATTCCCCTTGAATAAAGCTTCACAAAAACGATGGCTGATCGCTATCAGGTCAGAAAGATAGATCACCATGAAAAAAGTATCAGCAAGCACACAAAAATCTGTTCCAGGTACTTTTCAGATGAAAGTTATACCGTTACAAGCTTGGGTAAGTTAAAAAATACTTATCCTAATTTCTTTTATTGTCATGGTCCTGTTTTTCTAGGACAATGGAGGATCCTTAAAAAATATGCAATACCTCTGATAAATTTACATTAAAAAAGGAAGTTGGAGAGTCCAGTGAAGGACTCTGGGAGAAGTGATAGATGTAAAAAAGGCTTTGTGCAGCAGTATTGTCAATAAACAAACAAAAAGAGCAAACAGAAGCAGAATTATTACAAGCAGTTAAGAATTATACACAAAAGTGTGGTTCAACAGAGATACCTGCTAATGAAAATAAATCAGAGAGTTCAAAAACATGTGTTACAACTCAAACCGTGATAACATGGAATAGAAGTAAATTAGTTTTTTATGCATTTTTTGTCAGAAGAACAGTTGAAACATTTTACTGGTTTTTCAAATTATTTACATATTTTCTTGAAGAATTTGGAAAATCATACATTAAATGTGCTCTTTCAGTGGAAAATGAACTATCAATAACGTTTATGAAATATAGACTTAAATTTGTTTTATTCTTCAAGCATTTTTTTGTAGTAGACATTCAAACTGTTCACAAAATATTTATTAAGTGGACCAAGCATCTTTACACTTGCTTAAAAAAAAATAACTTTTGTAACATGACAACAACTTCAGAAGACCAGTACAAAATTATTCTGGACCATACTGAAATTTCAATTGGCGACGTGCAAGTGCTTGGATGTGATACGAGAAACGATCGTGCGCGTGTAGCGGAGAAATCTTGCATTTTTTACTGTACACTTCATAGATTTTATAAATTTATATTGTCAATTGTCATATTTCATATTCGTTTGTTTATTTACACCTTCTGTCACTGAAGAAAATGGGATTTAGTAAATGCTGTGTTATAAATTATAAAAATACAACAAAAAATTACTATTACTACTAAACCTTTCTCTTTTGACTTAGTGCTTGGTTGAAAGTTATTTGGTGATTTACTTTCTCAAATCCAGTTTTTATTATTGCATCCATATTAACAGTAATGCTGTAATTTAATAATATATTTATTTGTATTTACACTACATACGTTTACCTTTTAATAACATACCGACGTAACCTCAATCTTACTTTTTCTTCTTATTCTTTTTTGGGGCTACGTCCTTGACAGTTATCCGGTAACCTCGATCTAACATGAAAGCGCAGTAAATTTTGCTGATTTACGACACCAGGTGTCGCTCTTCCGAACTCGCACGGTCCCAATAGACCCAAGCAATGACCTTATTATACAACATGTAATATATTCTACATATTATGGAATCAATACCTTTAAAATAATAATAACATGCTCTGAAAAAGGTGAAATTATATATGTATCTGATGTTTATGGAGGCAGTATTTTAGATTGAAAAATTACAGTAGAATACGGAATTTTAGGACTTAACTGAAGAAGTAGAATTTATTATAGCTGACAGAGGTTTTGATATATCAGATCTTTTAGAGAAGAAAGGGCCCATTTTAAAAATGGGCTCAGTTAACAGAAAAAGAAATAATAAAAAGGAGGGCTATTGCCAATCGTAGAGTCATTGTTTGAAAATATAGAATTGGGAAAAAACATAAAATAGAATTTCTTTTAAATTATTCTCATATATAAATGAACTCATTTATAACTGTTTCATGATTTGTAATTTTAAAAATAGAATAAGTAACACTTTGATCAATTAAATTCTTGGTGAGACAGCATTTATTTTTGTTGTTGTTCCTCCTCAGTCCTAATCCATTTTGGGATGTGGTGACACCATCAGGCCTTCACAGTTTTTTTACGATTTCCCTCCCCTTTTTTTACGATTTTTTTTTTTTGTTAGTTTTACATAATTATAATATTTGTGACTTGTTACTATTTATCAGCTTATAGTTTCCAAGTTTTAAACTTTGAAAATATAAGACTTAGCATTCTTTCATTAGTTATCTATGAGACAGAAAATAAACTATGGTTAAAATTCCGCAAAAATGTATTGAAATGTATGTGTGAATCTGAGGAATAATATGAGGTTATGATTGAATAGCAAACCTCGACGTAAGCGCCCCTTAGGGATATTTTTTTAACTGACTTATGGTATGTAATCTATTCCAATACCAATCAGTTAAAAAAGCTTTTAACATCATAGTTAACTTTTATTCCTTTACTAATCTATTCCAATACCAATCAGTTAAAAAAGCTTTTAACATCATAGTTAACTTTTATTCCTTTACTAAATATAAAGCCTTTAGTTCTTACACAAAATGGGTCAAATACCTTTTGCCATTTTTATCACTACTAAATGTATTATTATGTTTTCAGGTTGGACAGTTGGCTATGGAGACGTTATTAAGTCTGACATCGAAACGAGCAGGGGAGTGGTTTAAAGAGGAGCTTCGGGAACTGGGCGGTTTAGAACATATCATGAAGACAATTCACGAATGTTGTCGGCAAGTTTCCGACTATGTTGTTACATGGACTGATACATTGTTAGATAAGCTGAAAAAGGTGGATAGGTGTTTAAGGGTATTAGAAAATGTAAGTAGATTTTATTGTTTATTTACTCAAAGTTATAAAAGATAATATAATATGAAAATGGAGTAGCAGTGAAAGAGATTAAAGCACTAAAAATTATTAATATGGTATTGAGGTTCTAAAACTATTAAGGGGAATTAACCACAATTTTTAATTGAAAATACGTTTATTTTGACGTTTTGATTTCCACTTCGGAAATTGTTCTGGAAATACGAAAACTATTTCTTAAAGTGTAAAGACACTTCACAAAAATAAACGTATTTTGAATTAAAATTGTAGTTAATTCCTTATATAAAGTAGATAACATAGTATTGACAATTAATAGACGCGGAACAGAGGTCAATATTTAGTATGGATGCGGCCAAAAATCTGTATTCACACATATCGTTTCTGTGGTGTTATATGTTTAACAAAAATATAGTTTTTATTTAACACTTTATAATTAAAAAATTACACTGAACGGCATAAAAAATTCGCCACCCTATAAATTTCCGAAATTAAAAATTCATTGGAAGTTTTATGCTCTGTTTCATATTGCGTGTCAATTCAAATATTTATTGTGTATGCTTGTTTTTGACAGTTTTGACGTTTATGTTGTTTTCTGTAGTCGCTGTTTATTAGGATGGAACGAAAGAGGTTAAAAAAATAAAAGAAAATTAAAATTCTTGAGGCTTTCGTTTAAAAGTTGTGTCAGATGATGAAAACAATCGGCGCGAGAGCATTTTGAAATAAAAAGAAATCTTGAGGTTATATATTGGATTTAAAAAATGAAAAAACAAAAAAATAATTTTTGTCGAAAAAATCGATATGGCTGTGATCAAAAGTCGTCTTTAGGATTGAAAAGCATCGCATGCAAAATTATTTTGAAATTGAACGATGTTTGCAGGTTCCATAATACCATTGAAGCTTGATATGGTGTGAAGTACCTATTTTAAACGACGCTAGTATATCAAATTATTCAAAGGTCAATGTCAAGTCTTCAGCTCTTTTTAGATCCAGCTGGTAGAGGAGGGAGAAATGCAGATGTACATCAAACTTGCAACTATTCACGCAGGCACAGTGTTGTGTTGTTGTATTTAAACATATTCTTCGCCAAAACTGGAGAATACTGAGGCACCTCACTTAAACTGCTGGTATGCTTATATCATTGCAATGAACTACCTCTATGTGATTTAATCCAACAGTCAGATGGGCGCACCAGTGGACCACTTAGTTTTTCAGGGCCAATGGGGAAACAACCTATCAATATTATTAGAAACAACAGATATTAGTACTGATCAGAAGTAATTGTACCAAATCAGTCAAGCAGTTGCTGAGGGAAAATGTCCTAATGATTTGAGCCTTAAAAAACCTGAGAAAATATTACACGCCAGGTGGCTGAGAGTTGCTAATCGTTTGCTTCGATTGCATGTTGGAACTGAATGTCCAAGCCCTCAATTAATTGTGTTAGTAAGTTTCATCCAAAAAGTGCACCAGTTTGGTTTTATATAAACTGTATCCTAGCTGTTCTGATGGGTCAAAACATTTATGGAGAATGATCCTGTATTCACGATTTCTAAAAGTTGACCAAAGAAAAATTGTCGATGCCGTTATCCAAACAAATGCTTATTTTGTTAAAATAAAAAAATTTTACTCGGTATGATGAAAGATGAACGAGAACATATACGGGAGCTAGGACTACGCAGAGTGCTGAAAGCTAAACAAAGTCGGAGAGAAAAAAAGATCCGGAGATTCATACCAACATAAATTTTAGTGCTTTCTGCAGATTATATTGACTTAATTTATATTTCTGAATGCAGTGTTACGGTTCCTTCATTTTCTAAAACATATTTTCAATGAATATGTAAGGGATATGATTGATTCTTAGAATCAAAACAACATAGAGGTCTTAAACTGTCCCTTTCATACCCAATCCGTGGAAAGAACTGTTAAGTTAGTAACTGAAGCATTAACTGCTGTTTGTAGACCAGAATTTGGATGGCTCTACTCGTTCAAGGTAGCAGCCTAGAAATATGCCATTTTTTAGCACAAAATCATACTAACAATCATAAAATGTACATTGTATCATAAAACAATTATGTAGATTCAAAAAACTGATAAAAAAATAAATTTTTAAAATTTTATTTTTTTTGTTATTCCCAAAAATTTAATTTTAATATTGAACCTAAAGATAGGGTCCAATACAAAAAAGATTTCTTATAGTTTTATTATACATCAAAACGCAAGTTTTTTGCACTAGCCCCATAAAAAATAATGACTTCGAATTTTTCGTTCCACCCTACTGTTCGGATTTTTTAATATGTGTTAAAAGACAACTATGTTAACACCGCGCTTGGTTATGCGCATTCATTCCATTTTGAGTATTAAGTAAGAAGTAAGAGTGTGCAGATATCTAGACATGTAACATCTCTTCTTCTTCTTCACGTGCCATCTCCGCTACGAAGGTTGGCTATCATCATGGCAATTTTGACCCTGGAGGCTGCCGCTCGGAACAATTGTATGGAAGTGCAAGCAAACCACTCCCTGAGGTTTCTCAACCATGACATTCTTCTCCTACCTATGCTGCGCCTACCTTCAATCTTTCCTTGCATAATTAGTTGTAACAGTTGATATTTATTCCCACGTGTAATATGTCCCAGGTATTGTAGTTTCCTCATTTTAACGCTCAATACGACCTCCTTTTGTTTGTTCATCCTGTCTAATACAACTTGGTTAGTTATCTTATCCTTCCAGGAGATTTTTAACATTCTTCGTTACGCCCACATCTCAAATGCCTCCAGCTTACCCATACATTGCTTATTTAGTGTCCACGCCTCCACCCCATATAACAGGGCCGAGAAAACATAACATTAAAGCATTCGTATTTTCAGCTTTAGGCTTAGGTTTCGGCTACACAACATTTGTTTCATGTTGTTAAAGGCACTGCGGGCTTTCTCTATTCTTATTCTTATTTCTCTGGTGTATTGGTTTGACTCGTTTATATTTGTTCCGAGGTAATTGTAATTTTGTACTCGTTCAATGAGATTCTGTCCTACATGTAAGTTGATTTTAATAACTTCTTTCGCGTAGACATTGAACAAGGTTGGAGACAACACACAGCCCTGCCGAACACCTCTTTTGATCTGTATTCTATCTGATATCGAGCTGTTAATTCGTACTGTAGCTTCTTGTTTGTAGTATAGATTCCTTATCACTCGCACGTCCCTTGTATCAATATTTTTATTTTCCAGTATTTGCATCAGTGGCCTATGTTTTACTGTATCAAATGCTTTGTTATAGTCTAGGAAACACACAAATATGTCCTGATTTACGTCTAAGCATCGTTGTGTTAAAACATTAAAAGCAAACAGTGCCTCTCTAGTTCCTAGTCCGATGTCAACTTCCAATTTTTTATATATTCATCATCTCTATTCTATTGCAATTAAACAAAATTACAGTCTACAGCGATTCAATTCAATTCTAATTACCAGTGAACCAGCGGAGAAGTGAAGACAGACTAGTGTTTTCATATTCTATTAAACACATACGATTTCGACTAATTAATTAAGATTCGGTGTTATCTACAGTAGATGTTGCTTCAATTCTTGTATTGCTACAAGATGGAAGAAGTCAAGTTTATGTATCCAACACTGTGGGTATTCCGAAAACTACAGTATGGAGACTGGAAGTTGGGAGTACGAAACTGGAAAGCCAAGGCGAATAATAGGAGAGAATGAACACTGCAATTGCTGCAAGAAACCGTCTGTAGGAGGTTCGAAATGTGAATGTAAGAAAACGATTAGAAGACGCCTCAATGAAAGAGGACTAATGGCAAGAAGACCGACTATTGTTCCCGCATTACAACCCAGACACTGTAGAAATCGATTAATTTTTGCTCGACAACATCAACATTGGGATATACAGGATTTTAGCCGAATTCTCTTAACTGATGTATTGCGGTTCTGTTTGAAGTCTGGCGATGGCCGACAGATGGTTTGGAGACGAGGAAATGAAAGATATGCCCAAGCTTGTGTGTCCCAGAGAAAAAAGTTTGGCGGTGGTGGTGTCATGGTTTGAGCTGGAATCTCATTTGAAGCTCGAACTGAACTTATTTTCATAAATGGCCCCCTGAATGCTCATCGGTATATATAGAGGATGTTTTGGCAGAAGCAGTAGTTCCATTTGGTCTATTTATTGGGGATAATTTTGTCTTTATGCATGATAATGCACGGCCGCATAATGCAGGAATCGTAACAAATTACTTGGTAGAAGTAGGAATTAATACTCTAGAATGGCCAGCTTGCAGCCCTGATCTGAATGTCATCGAACATCTTTGGGATGAACTTCATCGTAGAGTTAGAAGTCAACCAAGCCAGCCAGAAAGTCTTGCAGAACTTTAAAACATGCTTTGTGAAGAATAGGAACGTATTCCTCAAGTTTTTATTCAAAATTTGTTCCTTTACCTTCCAAATCGTATGCAAACAGTTAATAATTTTTTAGGGCATAATACCCGAATAGATAATTTTGTTCAAGTTCACTCGTAATTTTTATTGTTTGTAATTCGTTTTGATAGTACACAATTGTCTTTTGTAGCTTTCCAAATAAATTATGCTAATGAATCAAGCAGTAATAGCCATGTTTTGTTTTAAAAATGAAATATGTTGAGAATGCAATATGAATCAGTGCATAAAACTTCCAATGAATTTTTAATTTCGGAAATTTATAGTGTGGCCACTTTTTTGCCGGTCAGTGTATTATATAGTAAAAATTGTAGCAAAACCTACAAGTGAGTTTGTGAGTGTGACCTATACCCCTAGATATATGGAGTTTTTTACTACTACCACAAAACTAAAAGTATAAATGAAACCTACGCTATCTAGCTCGCCTCAGAAGTAGGTTCACCTGGTTTTGATTTTGCCAAAGTACTAACAACTCTCAAGCTTTTCAAAGTAAGGATGTAACTTATAGGTGTTGATGTCAGTCTGCTCCTTGAAAATTCACTGACTTTAGTAAACTTGTAGCTAATTCAATTAACAAACTCTAGAAACAAATTTTCGGAGATTTATTATATTAATAGGAATAAATAAATCGATATTTGACTTAGATATTGATTTTAAGGTATTACGAGTATATATTGCTTCATAGAAATACTTATACTAAGATTTATGCACTTAGATCAAAATCGAACGATATCGCGAGAGCGAGCTAAGTCTGACCCCAGAAACACACCAGAAGTGGTGCTTCTCTATTCAGAAAATTACCAACTCTCCTAAGAGATTACCAGTGACACATGGCCACATTCTCTAATTCCGAAAATTATTAGCTAGCAAATATAGCCACTTTCTCTAATTCCGAAAATTATTAGCTATTTTATAGCAAACATGGCCAAACTTTCCAACCCATTTGAAATCTATTAATTTAGAAAGAAGCACTCAAATTTAGATAAAGCGTAGTGTATCTAATTGGAGATGCTTTAGAACCTAACCCCCTCGGTGTAAGAGGGTTGCAATCTCTATAGCCCTCACTCACGGATGGAAATTTGTTACGCTTTCACAAGTTAGCAAAAAACGCAATTTAAAAATTGAAAACACGTGGACTCACTTGCTTATCAGTAGATTGTTGGGAATTATATTTATAAAGAAATAACAATTAAAATTAAAAAATGTTAGATGTGGAGTCTTTTACAGCCTCCACAAATCTAAAAGTATCAATGAAACCTACGCTACCTAGTATGTTTCAGGATTAGATTCACCTAGTCAGGATAACAACATTTATGCTTACAGAAACTAAATAAGTAAGATTAGTTTGTACTAAATCATTTATTATATATTTAAGAAAATTTTAGAAACAAATAAATAAAATGTCTACCGCTCTTTTTCTGGTTACTTGTCTCATTTCCTGAGACATGGCATCCATGGTATTCCATGGTATCATATCAAATTTAAAACGTCACATGGGTGTTATTTCCCATACCTTGATGCGGCCATATCTTGATTAAAGCTGATGGTATGGCTTGATGTTCCGATGCTTGTGCGTTTAAATGTCTCATGGGGTTTTATTATTTACCTACCATAACTTGGAGTTTCTATATCTGAAAATTGGGTTATGGTGTGGCTTGATGGTTCAAAAGGAATGTATGTATGGTTTGAAAAAAGTATGTAGGATCTACTCAAATATTTTATATTTATCGGGCTCGAAGGACCAAATGAATATTAAATATAAAATATTTGAGTGGATACTACATTCCTTTCCAAACAGTATCAACCGGATAAGCATAGATTTACAAAGATTAAAAGTTAAAATAGTGTATCTATTTATATATCTATAAATGTCTATTATCTATACATCGGTTATATAATTAGAGAACCTAAATATCGATTACTCCGGTTGATCATTCAGGTCAAAATCAAAAGAAACCGCTGAGCCGAAAGAAAACAACTGTCCTGGCTGCGTAATATTTGACAAAGGACAGGTCGAACGTTCAAAGAATTATTTCATCTAGCTGTAGACCGAGAAACATTTCATCGGCTTGTTAATACGACGATAGCCAACATTTGAAAAGAAGCACGGCACATAAAGAAAAAGTATATCTATTAAGTAAATAAAAAATATTCTCCACAAGGAATGCTGCAAAAGAAACATTATTTAATTAAATTTAAGGAACTTCTAAAGAATTTAAGAGACTTTATCGTCTCTTATTATTATTATAAGAGAAATAAAAGACAAAAAATTAGGAAAAAAACAATGAGATAGATAAGTTTTTGATTGATACTCCAAAATTAATTAAAAAGGTTGGGAATAAAATGTGCATGAAATTAGATCACATTTTTCCAACAAAAAAATTATTAGGAAACACTGGGCCAATTATATCAATTTATATATTAAATATTTTAATTATTGGACAACTTCTATTACTAGTTCTAGAAACTGCAGTTTCAAATAAGTAAACTGCTACAATGGTATCGACACAATATAAAAAGAAACACTTAACGTTATGTTATGATAAATAAAAGCCAAAATTCACTTCTGATATAGTGCAGAATCATATATAATAAGTACAGATATAAAAAATGATTTTTAATTAGGATAGAGCCTCTAAATATAACAAGTGACCAAAAGTTGAACTAATGCGCCTATTAAAGAGGGGTTAATTTGGAAGGGCCATCTCATTTAAAATTTCGACATTTTGACTGCGGGGGCTGATTGTTATGTTTATGGCTTGTCTTTCACACAACGAAAACTGACATAGAATATGAAAACAGGGAATTCGAGATAATTAAAGAGAGAAAATGGAATAAACAAGAAAAGCAAATATTGGGCACCACTATTTTTAGAAGAAAAATATCAAAACACGCAGTAAGACTAAACGGCGAAACTATTAAAAAGAATATTTTCAAGAAAATATTAAATTCGAAGACGAGACCAAAATGTAACGTTTACGTTACAAGATCTTCATACTTAAAAAAGGAGTAAAAGGAGTATCACTACTTTTATGTTCTCTTTCGTGGACTACTTTCGTATATTTACACTGTTAGCAGAACAATTTGTTATTGCTTGAAGGATCTTTGATGCATCTCTTTCCTTGTACACTTAAGGTTGCTTGTTTTTCATTGCTTGTGGAATTATTGACCATATGCTATATAGTAGAGTACAGAATCCAAACTATTTAATTCGGTTGTTGTATATAAATAATATTTTAGGTAACGCATAATAATGAAGAAAACCAAAACTATATCCTTAAATATAACGAGGGTGCCATATTGGATACTCTAGTTAACTTGTACAAATTATGTGATGGAGAAATACCACTATATCCAGTGACTGATATTACAGATAAGACTTCTACTGGTGCAATAATCAGGGAGGCATTATTAGTTACCTTGAAGGTGCTCATCAATCTCACTCACCATTTCAACAACCAGTGTAAGTATGTTAATGTTTTTTGTTTCATTTACTAGTATAGCTTTGTTTCAAGGTTTACTAGTTATATTATTACATTTTATTTATTTTTCACATATATACATGGATGCAAATACAAAAATTCCTCCACAAAGAATATGTACATGACCACTGCTCACTTCTATATAAAAATTAGTCGTTTTAGCCATGATTAATATAGAAAAATCTCTCAGTTAGAGAAAAGAAAGAAAAGGTCAAATGATGGATAACAATTATAGAAAAGTAGAAGAAAGAGAATAAAATACCGGAAACGAACAAGTATCACATTTAAGTTTCGGCAGACAAGATAGAAATTTTTAAATAGCGAAAATCCTTTATGCAAACTTTTTTTACCATTCATTGATGAATACGAATATTTTTCATGTATGGATGAGAAGTACAGTGTTGCATTATTAACTCAGGAATCTGAAGTAGGACACTACTTAAAGAGTTGGGGATTATTAAATATGAAAGATACAATATTTGAACCTATTACTAGAAGAACCAACAATTTCTAAGTTTGACTGCGAGAATTCGGACTGAAACTACACTTTGCAGTGTGTCCGAAACATATCTGATCTTCGTTTATAACTTTGCATCAAACGTTCAAAGGTATGTGTGTGTTGTTTCGAGCTGGGTCATGATGAATAAAGCATGGTAGAGTTACGAATAAAGGTCGAATACTTTTTAGATAAACCTAGTAATTTTGTAGTTAGTCGGACATTTATAAATGGGAGAAGAAAAGATCACTATGAGAACAAGTTTTCAATGAATTAAATTTCTTTATGGAATTTTTCTGAAATTTCAACAGTTTTATTTATTACAAGTTCAATACTTATTTAAAATACAAATTTATTTCAATTATATTTCGTTTTAGCAATTGGTAGTCAATTGATTGGTACCAGACCTGGAATTATTGAAACCAGTCTTCATTTACTACTGCAGGTGCCTAATTACATTCCCGAACAGAAGAAGTTTGAATTGGGAGTTCTAGTAAGCATTTAGTTTTGAATTTTTTATTAGATGAATATGTTTTATGCCATATTTTATTTTTAACGTAGATAGTACCAATTTGGTAGTAATATGTAACATTATATAATCACACCGAAATCACAGATAAATTAAACTAGTTAGATCTCAGATCAATAAAAATGTCTTAACAATGTAAATAATTTATTAAGAGTTTCAAGGGTCTGTAACCTGTAATCATATGTTAAACGTTAATGGGCTCCAAAGAAACATTTGCTTGATCGTCTTGCAACAAATAAAATGGAGATTTATATTGCAATACACTAATCTGTTATATTAATCGGTTTTTTCTTGTAGGTTCTCATGTTGTTAATAAATCTCATACAGGACCAAGATTCGAACAAGAAACTTCTTATGGCAGCCAAGGCACCTTCGAAACTTGAAAGCATATATTCACGTAAGTTTTTTTTTATTTTTTATTTATTAATAATGTTAATAATAAACTTTTTTTATTTTTGTGTATATGTCATACATCTATTAATATCGATGAGAACAAGTTTAACAATTTGCCCGTGACTATGTACGAGGGTCTTACACCTCGGGATTTGGGAGCACAGTAGTCGCATCCCAAATCTCACCATATGATAAATCAGTTACAGTGCTTCAGTCTGAAGATTTTCCCATTGAGAATGTTGTAGATATGGATATGTTTTTTATATTTGTGCGTGTATGTATGTCTGAGTGTGTTATGTCCAACCAACAAATCTTCATTTAATAACATAGCTGCAGCTCCTACGTTATGTAGAAAGAAAGAATAGATGCCTTTGAAATGTATATATACAGACGAATGTTGAGAATTCCATGGATATAAAGAGATACTAATGTTGAGGATACTTCGTCGAATGTGTAAGCAAAAAGAATAATCAAAGAGAGGAAAATGCAATACTTGGGTCATGTGTTGAGAGGCGAAAAATATGAATTACTTCAAGTTATACTGGAAGGAAAAGTACAGGGCAAAAGATCAGTAGGAAGACGTCATAACGCATGGCTCAAAGACCTGAGATGGTTTGACCGCTAATCCGCAGAAATCTTTCGCGCAGCAGTTTCCAAAACCACAATTGCCATTTGGATCGCCAACCTTCGAAACGAGACGGCGCCATGAGAAGAAGTCTCATTGTAAGAAAACCGATTTGTCAAAATTCTAACCGATAACTTCTAAAACGAACTTTTCAATCTTCAACAGAGCCCTTTTCGTGTATTGGTGCTTCGTAGTTACATGCTATTTCTGCATATATCGCTGTTTTCCTATATTCATTCCCTTACAGAGGTAATCAGCAAGATCTTTTACAAATGAGACACTATAACCATTTTCACACCATCCAAGAAAATTTCTGATCAGTTTACCTGCTCTCAAAGATATATCATCTATTCCCTGTTCTTTTGTTGCATATTTCATCCCTTATTACTGTGGCGATGCCTACACCGGCAGTCCGTCAAAACCAAAATCCATCAAAGGGCAAAGATGCATTAAACCTGGTCGTTTCTTCTATCTTTTCTCCATTCTTTTCTTAGTTGCAGAACACTACTAAGACACCATACATTCTATATTGTTAAAAAACACTTATATTCTTTTCGAAAAATGTACTAATATAGGAAAATATTGTGAAGGCAAGAGGCAATGGCAATTTGCATCAGCTGATGGGACGCAACAATGGACTACCCTGTAAACTAATCTAGTAAATGGACTATCCCCTGTAAACAAATAGCACGTTTAATAGATAGCATGCTCAACGATCGAAGGTTTCAAGTAGTGATGGGCACAGATATCAGCCCACCAAAGAAACTTAAGAATGGCCTACCACAGGGGTCAGTGCTCTCTCCATTACTATTTAGCTTATATTTAGCAGATATGCCAGAAACACAATCAAGAAAGTTCGGATACGCCGATGACTGGGCCCTCGCTACATATATATAAATAGAGTTTGTATAACGACGCTAAGAATACAATTCTTTGGAGGGTAACTTTCGGGAAAACTTATATATATATATATATATATATATATATATATATATATATATATATATATATATATATATATATATATATATATATATATATATATATATTGAGCAAATATTTTCGCAAGTGGCGGGTTCAACCAAATGCATCCAAAACAGAAGTAAGTTGCTTTCACCTGAACAATAAATAAACTTGCTGGAAAGGAACTCAACATACGGTTTGAAAATACCACACTTTTCCACAACAAAACACCGAAGTACCTGGGCGTAACACTAGACAGAACGCTATCATTTAAAGAGCATGTAACAAAAACTGACAAAAAGTTGAGTACAAGAAATAACATTGTACAGAAGCTGTGCGGTACCAACTGGGGAGCATCGGCTTCCACTCTCCGCTCTACTGCTTTAGCCCTTGTTTTCTCGACCGCTGAATATTGTGCCCCAATTTGGCTACACAGTCCACACGTAAAAAAGGTCGACACTGCCGATCCACCAAGATACCGAGGATGCACGAAATACCCGTCTACGTTCTATAAAACCACCAATGAAAACGGCAAGAATGATACATGAGGAGTTCAACATCACGAATGCATGGTCCCAAGAATGGAATGCATGGCAAAATAACATGCCCTGTATTACCCACAAGCCACCAGGTTTTGATCTTCCACGTAAAACATGGTCCACTCTAAACAGGATCCGAACCAGACATGGCAGATGTGCATACCTGCTACATAAATGGGGAAAGAATCCGTCTCCTCGATGTGACTGTGGGAAGAACCAAACGATCGACCACATTATTGAAGAGTGTCCCTCAAGATCCTACAACGGTAGCCCTGAAGACTTCCTGTTTGCAACTTCAGAGTCAATTGATTATGTTAATACACTTGATGTTTGTTTGTAATTATTTAAAGTTTGTCATATACCTATATTACTAGTGTTTGTAATTTTGTTCTAAATGTGTTGTAATTGCCATACGATAAATAAATAAATGGACTACCTAAGTCTCATCCAAACATTTCTAATTCGTGTGCATTTGTCCCATAAGAAGTTAAAAATATTCGTTTTTTTTATTGTTTGAAGAGTAAATAAGGACTTTTTGGTTATGAACATTCACTCTGTGCGATTGTTATTATTTGTTGTTCGTGAATTTGTGAGGTAAGAATATTAAATTATTAATTAATAAAAATATTTATTCTTTCTTACTGTTCATGTGTTAAGGTTATGTTATTGTTTGATTAAAAGTTGAATTATTTATTTTACTGTATTTTAAGATAATTTGTTGTTGTTCTTATCAGGGTTATTTCAATTTAAATCCATGAATTATATACGAAGTTGAAAAATATTTGAATTAATGTTTTATTCTTTTTTCGTTGCCAGTGATTTTATACTATAAAAGACTCAAGATATTCCTTTTATCGTAGATTAAGTAGTGAATAAGGACTTTTACTTGTAATATAACATTCTGTGGAATCCTTTCTATCAAATTGCCATAGTGAGTATTTAAAAAAATGTTTTTTGAATGTGTTTCATTGAGTTGACTAAGTTTGTTATTTGAGTTTATTATTTTTTAGATCTGGGCATATATTCGATAACTACTTAAACTACGAGAAAACGAATATATTTAATCTTTTACGGAAAAAAATCACTAGCACCTAAAAAGAATAAAACATTAATATAAATATTTTTTAACTTCGTAAATAAATTCAATGATTTGTTGATTAATTTTGAAATAACTCCGATAAAAACAGCAACCGAATGCCTTGAAATACAGGAAAAAAATAAAGTTTTAATCAAACAATAACATAACCTGAAAACATGAACATTGAGAGTAAATATCTTAATACTTTGATATTCTTACCTCACAAATTCACGAACAACAAATAATACCAGTCTCACAGAATGAATTTTCATAACCAAAAAGTCCTTCAAACAATAAAAAAACCAATATTTCCAACTTCATATGGGACAAATACACAGAAATTAGAAATGTTTGAAAAGGTTTTCCAAGTTCCGCTCATTGTGGCGGCAGAGCTTAGGTAGTCCTTGTCGATGATCCTACTGACTAGCTCCATGAGAAACCTTGCAGCGAAGTCAGGTTTCACCTCCGGATGCGTTGAATACTTGATTTACTCTGCTTAAATGCTCTCGGCAGTTGGCTTTCTCCTATGGATACATTGAGTACCCTGAGTTGTCGTGAACATCACCTTGTCATTCTCTTAAAGAAGTTAAATTAGATTTGTAGCGAAACGTGTAGAAGATGAAGCCACAAACGCATGGTCCAAACAAGACTAAGTCTAAACGCGGAAGGTGAATTATTTATAAATCTGATTCTGACCGTGAAATCCTCTTATTTCGTTTATCTAAAGGATTCTTTTTTTTTATCCAAGGATATTCTTAGGTTTATAAGAAAGCTTTTAAGTCATATTTTCTTACTATTCTTTTTACTTCAGTCTAATTTACTTTACTTATTATTACTTGCCCAATTATTGTTTTGTACATTTGAAGTCACTTGTCATGACTGTTTTATAGAAATAAAATTTGTTATAAATATCTTACTCCAAGCAAAGTGTTTCTAAATTTTTACAAAATAGAGTTTAAACTAAACAACATAGTTATATAACGTTGTTTTATTGTACAGTGTTTGTTAATTCTTAGCTTGCCTCGTGATCGAAAATATTTTCCTCGTTTTAAATCTACTCATAAACGATTTTATTTTTAGGAGAAGAGAGTGCGGTGGAAGCCTTAATAGCCCAGTTCTATCACTGGGAAGGTTGTGCTATGGTAGCGGAAAACAAGACGAACGCTATTTTAGACGGAGAGAAAGATGGCGAAGACCCGCCAAAATCGACACCAAAATCGAATGAGGAATTCATTGAAGAGACTGTCGCTAAATGTATGTAAAAAAGTATTTTCATTTGATACAGAAATGTAAATTGTTTACCTCTAAATTGCTGATTTAATTTCAATTAAACTCAAAATAACATTTTTCATACTCAATTTAAAAGAAAATTAGTTTCAAGTTTAGTTTCGAACACTATTATCTATTTTGTTTTTCTTTTTTAGTATTGCAGAAGGCTGGAACCCATATGGAATTTACATTCCTCGCTTCGTACATTGTCATGCTTGTTGGTTTCCTTATCACAGACAATCTCGAATGGCAGCAGTTTGTTAGACAATTCCTGAAAGGAAATAACTTCGCTGATATGGTAGAGTTGCTTAAGAAGTTCTTTAATTTCATGAATTTAACGGCTTCGGTAAGTATTAATGTTTATAGTTATTTGATCACTGTTTTTAATGTTGTTTTATCAAAAATAATTAACATTTTTATAGGTATCTGTAGAGTAATAAATAAATCTATCTATTTATTACTTTTTAATTAGTTTTTAAATTGTTTCATCCATTACTATATCTTTCTCTGGTTCTCTAACTTTGTATGCTCTTATTTATTTTTCTTTGTGCTGAGAAATATCTCGTTCAATGCCTAATTTCATAATCTGCTCGTTTTTATCGTTTCCAATTGGTTTTTTCCGAATTCCACTAATTTTTTCCAAACAAACAACTTATATTTAAAAGGGAAACGACAGTTAATATTTGATTTCACGTATAGTGCATCTGTGTATCCGCTTATACTTATTTCGGTCTAATAGGCCTCTTCAGAACGGCATTCCCAGTCGCTCTGAACGGGAAAATAAATCTCTTCTATCGTAGGAAGCAACTCTAACATGGCTTCGAATGGACGCAAATAGCGACATCTGCTATTAAATCCGTAAACATTTTCGACTTCAAATACAACATATTTTGAATTAAAATTGTGGTCTTTTTTTTCTTTTTTTTTTTAATATGAACTGATCAAAACAAAATAAAGATAAATTGGTATCAAAAGCCAACACAATCTAGAAGATATTTAAACTTTTTCAAATCGTCTTACTCATCACAAGTTTAATACAGTAATTGCAATGAAAGACATATTAGTAACGAAAAGTTAATGAACAGAAACTTAGACTTAATTACTATTTAAATGGGAATAAGCCACAATTAAAGGTTAAAGTAAGTTTATTGATGTTTCAATTTCCATTTAGGAAATCTCCAAATACAAACATTAGTTTTCAAATGTTTAAAATATACTTAATTCTGTGAGTTTAATAATTTATAACATCACTCTTTTTATTGATTGCTTGCAATAGATCATTAGAAAGAATAGAGCGTCCCAAGGAAACAAAGACAAGTCAAAGGGTTCATGTATTTGGTTAGTGTGAAGAATAATCGGTTAATGGCAATCTTAATATATTGATATCTTTATGTATGTGTGTTTGTTTTAAATCATTAAATAAACCCTGAAAAAATGTTATCATTGTTTTTACTTTTCAGACGGAAGCTTCGAGCGTCTGTGCGATTAAAGCCACAGAAAAAGTGATAAAATTCCTGGAAGAGTGTGATAAACCCCCGCCAGTCGAGTCGACTGCCCCCGAAAATCCTCCCGCCTTTTACGAATCCATTGGTATGGATTTGAGTTATAGGTTAACGTCGTAGAATCTGTTAAATACTAATTGAAAATAACTCATCGTGAAAATGGATTTGATGATGGTGTAAGTACCACCGGTTGTCTCAAACGTGCGAAAATGTGTTATATTAGAGTACCGTAGAAGTGACACAAAGAAATAATATATTTCTACGGATTATACTTGTCTTGTACAAATTTTAACTTTGCTAGAAATTTTTGATAAAACTTCACACGGTTTTTACTTCCCGGTAATATTTAGAACGAGCGTGTGCCATTTTATTCATATTTTTAGTTTTGACGCTTTCCGACAGATTTGAAATTTGATGCATCTATAATGAAATTTAAGGGTTTTTTCAAAACAAACTCAAATTTCAAACTTACAAAAAATCCTCATAACTTCACGGTATATATTAAAAATTTGCTATCTAATACGATCGATTTACCCAATTAATTTAATGAGGTTAACATTTTTAGAAGCTTGCGTTCATTAAAATGTATAATAACTGCTATATTTACAGCAAATAAAATGTTAAGGGTTAGCTAAATTATGTAAAACCCCTTAAAACACTATTAATTCTGGATATATTGGCTTGGTATCTAATGGTTGATGTTAAACCATCATCATCATCTTGGTGCTATAGCCCTTAAAACGCCATTCTGTTCTGTCCTTTGCTTGCATTTTCCAGTTACCGACCCCGATCTTCTCGGCATCTTGTGTTACCCCGTCCATCCACCTCAGCTTTGGTTTACCCCGTCTTCTCATTCCCACGGGTTGCGCTGTTAGAATCTTTTTTATCATGTTCGATTCCGGGCCCGGGCTACATGTCCCGCCCACTGCAAGCGGTTTCGCTTAATTATAGTGGTAATATATTTACCACCAAACGTATGCTTGTTGATATTCTGCATTTCAAAGTTATATCTACGCCTCCATATTCCCTTCTCACAGACAGCTCCGAGTATCTTGCGTAGCACCTTTCTTTCTAAAAACGATAGAGCGCATTCATCTGTTTTAGTTAGCACCCATGCCTCTGATCCATATGTAAGAACGGGGGATATCAGTACTCTATACAGCTTCGATGCAGCAACTTCGATGCTTTGTATCCAGCCTCAGCACGTGCATGGTGGAGTTCACTATCAACAAGAATAGCATTTCTTTCTGGACAGTCTGGAGTAATCACAAACTTGATATAAATTTTATCACAAAAGTGACAGTTTGTACATTTTTTTCAAGTTTAATTCAGCAAGAAGGCAGTTCTTCGTAGATGCAGCGCGACATAATGGTTTTCTTTATGCGTAAACGACTTTATGTGTTCTCTTATACGTTCTTTGTCGGTTTCGTTGATTTTGTTAGGCCTATTATTGTGTTTTCCACGTTGACCACTTAACGGCATATCTGTTTTTATCTTCTACTGAATGTGTTGGATGCTTCTAACACATGTTATTCCAAATGCTTGACATATAGTTTTTTGGCACATTGGTAATTTTTTCAGTCCAATCTAAATGTGGTATCGTATAGTACATTGTCGTCTGGAGATGTCTTCTGGAGTCCGTCTACATTGTGGCCTTTGAAGTTCCATACAACTGCCAAGGTGCGCAGTTTGTGCATTATAATCCAGCTTATAAAATGTTGTTAAGAGATCTCCAAACTGGCCTTGAATTTTAGCAGCCTCGCAAACAGATTTGCATTTACATAGCCGCTCCTAAAATATAAAAATACTTATTTGAAGATATCGAAATTATCAAAAGATGCCGAATTTCAAATCATACACTCATTACAGACAACAGATCATAACAAAGCTAACAACAATGATAATGCTAAAAAAAATACACTTCCAAACAAAATATACAACATTGTTATACTCACCTCATGTGGACGGGGTATTGCTGATACATTCTCGTTTCTAGCAGATACATTTGCTTCACCTGCATTTCTCTGACGCTTGCGGATGTTTCTCTTCCATTGGTTAATATTGATTTTGCGTTTTTCCCTCTATTTATGTGCAAATGGATAGACAGCGACACTAACCTCCATTTTTGCAGTGATAGTAGTTTGACAGTGACGTACATACAACGTTTTTGTATGGATACAACATTGCGGCACGAAAAACTCATGGAAGACAAATTGTTCTTAGTTAGATTGCTAGATGCTCGCATTGTTTTTTGGATGTACAATATTGTTGCGGCCCACCGTTCAATTGTTTATAAGTGTATCTCGTAAAATATAACATTTGGGTTTTGACCCTTATTGATAAGTAATTTCTAATATCATTATTAAATATATTTAAATTTGGTGGATCATTTGAATTAACGTTATTTCTTCTTGCTACTGATATTGGTTGGAGTCTACAATTTATTATTGAGGATTCTATTTGGTCTGATTACATTACCTTGTAGTGTACTTTGTACATTGACTGGTTTACCAGGGAATGTTGGTCTAGAATTTAATGCATATTGTTTTGGTAACCCTGGTGTTTGGTATTTTCTAGAATTCGTTGACCGATTAAAAGAATTTTCGGTTAAAAATGATAGTAACTTCTTAAAAATTATTCTTACACTGGTCAGATAAACGTTGATAATTATATGTATCTTAATGTGTTATATACTTTTATTATATAATAGTTTTATTTTGGTTTACTTTAAACAGTCACGTCTGTCTACGAACCATTGTGCTAATTTCCTCAGTTATCTCTCTAATAGTCTAAAAAATGTAACAATATGAAGAAATATGTGTTCCCTTCCTTAATTCTGTAATCTCAGGAATGTATATAGGCATTTGACGTTGGAACACCAAAGTTATTTTTCACTCGATGTGGAAAAATGTTTTTTCGGTCCATACGAATCCTAATAACTGCGCCAATTAGAACTTTAGTCCACAAGAAACGGTTAAAAAACATTTTTATGTTTAAAATACATGAAAAGTCTACTAATTGATATTAAACAAATTAAATGTTGAAATATGTGTCGATTTAGTAGAATAAAGGGTCGTAATTGGCAAGACTGAGTTAAAAATTCAATTTTGCCTAAAAAGATGATAATAAATTTCATTCTTCGTCTTGTAGTGCCTATCCAAACTGCTGCTCTGAAAAGATTTGTGGTTGTTGTATTGAACCACGTACATCGATTTTTCAGCCAGGAAATTCTTCGCCTTCCTGGTTCCCGTTTTCCTTCCTTAAATTACATTAATATTATTCCGAAGCTATTTTCTTGTGGCATTGTAAATTAATTACTATTTAACTGGGAATAAGCCACAATTAAAGATAAAAATACATTTATTGACGTTTCAATTTCCACTTCGGAGATTTTGAGAACGATTTCCAAAGTGGAAATTGAAACGTCAATAAAGGTATTTTTATCTTTAATTGTGGCTTATTCCCAGTTAAATAGTAATTCAATTACATTATTTATTAAAATTTTTGATCATGAACTTCTAGCGTTTTATTTGCTATAAAATATGTACATTTATTATATATTTTGTTTATTATATCGTGCCAAAATTTTCCAATGGCCTTAAAACCTCTAAAAATTATCGCTTATAGTGTATTGTGCCAATAATGCTACACTGAAACACTATTCGTTTAAGTTTATTAATAATAATAATACAAAATATATTTAACTTAACGTTTCGAAGACTTTGTTTTAGTTGGCAATTAGGCTTTTGGATATCTTAGTTTAGTCATATGTTTCTTACGATTCGTACTATTTCTTTCGTACTTATGCATTTATTATTAAATATTATTTGTGCTATCATGGTACTTACGCTTACCTTTATCATTTACAAATTAATTGCTACCAATTTACTGGCTCAAATATCTTTATTTCCTCCTATATTAATCTTAACTACAACTTATCTTGCGCAAGGGTTTTTTATTTAAGGAGCAATTAAGAAATAAGCAAATATTAACACAATATTTTGTTTCTGAGTATTAGTTTCATGCTAAAACTACTTCCGAAACTATAGGTTATAGGTTCAAGAAAAATAAAGATTAAAAAGTTGTTCGAATACTGCTGTTTGTGACATCTTGGTTTTTCAATATTTTGCAATACCACATCAACATAAAAATAAAAAGCTTAGATCGAAGTAGAATTTTTACTATTCATTGCTGTATTAAAATGTAATATCTCTACAGACATTAAAGCCAAAAAAAGCTGTCGACAATTGTTTGACAACTGTTGTCAAGTAAGCAAGCTAGAGCAATATTTTGTGGATTTACATGAAAAGTGCAGTTTTTTCTTGAAGAGTCTTTTTCCATGACAATATTTTAGTTTGTGTAACTTTTGTAATAATCCTCGCTTATATTTATTTGATTATATCATTATTGAATAAAATGGTGCACACTCAAGTCAATCAGAACTTTCCACGAACCACCGGCTTTGACTAAAAGATAAAAGATCTCTAAGGACATGTTTATAGTTAAGGTTGTAAATATAATATATCATTTTAAACTAGTTTGTTAATAACTTGTAACATAATTTTCTTGGGACATCCGGTACAATTTCACTGAAACGAATTGAAAAAATATACATTTTAAGAATACATATAATAGCCACACAATTTTAAGAGGTAGATCTGTTCCGTACATTTCTGGAATAGAGCGTCACCGAATTTTTTGAAAAAAAAAGTAATTACTCCAGTCAAACGGCACCAAATGGGTTAAAGTATTTTTTGATTAGATAGTAGGTATTATGTAGATGGTTGATTAAAAAAATGGACATTACTAGGTATTGGTAATAAAAACCTATTCGATGGATAGCAAGGGATCAATCAGTTCCAATAGGGAAAAAGTAAATTTAGATAATGTAGCCAAGACTTTGCTTCTAACATCTTTATTAAACTAACTACAGCATATCATAGATCAGTTAGTTTGACGCGACTAGAGAGCAGTTAGTTGGTATTTAGCCACAGTCAGTTTTTTTTTTGTTAAATTTTGTTATATAATTTAAAATTAAAACTGACATTTAATCCGCTTTATAGGTTGTTGTTGAAGCAACCCTCCAAATTAGGTTACTCGGCATTTGTTATAATTAATCGATGGCGTACTTTTCTGAAAATATAACTTGACAATTTACAAATTTTCTCGAATTGAATTTTTAAGACAATATGTTTTATAGCGTAATAATGCTC